GGCAACTGCTTTATAAATAAAAATAAGTTACCTTTGGGAATAGCACAGGCCAAAGGAAATGATTCAGAACTGAAGCTTTGAGTAACTGGAGTATGTTGGTAACTGGCTTTCAACATGGGATTCACTGTAAGGCACATGAGGTGGGGGGATTTACTAGGATGCCCTCAAGACTTAAGTTATGCTATCCAATATAGTAGCCACTAGTCACATGTCACTAAGAAAAAACATAGGACAAGAAAAATATGGGGTGGTGGAAGTCTGTATGTAAATCTATAAATGTAATTCACTCATAAAAGATTCAAATTAAACTGAAAATTAAGCTCTTCAGTTGCATTTCTACTGCTCAGTAGCCACATGTAGTTTGTGGCCAGCACAGATGTAGAACCTCCTTTGTAGAAAGTTCCTTTGCAAAATTCTGGCTTTAAAGATCCATGTTGGACTGACTATCAAGGCAAAATTCATGAATAACTTATTCATTTAAGCTAACATTCACATCAAAACTAATTTTCCCCCCTTGTCTTTATTTTTTATTTTACAGAATCTAAGACTTATCAAAACACTGCTATGCAAATACATCATGTTGAAAATCTGCTACCCAAGATTCTGTGCAATTTTTCAAACTGTTAGAATATTTTTGATCACTGTTTATACTAGTGCATGTGAACACCTTCAGAGAGATTCTGTGAAGGAGGTGGTCTTCGCTTTTCTTGAATGAGTTTCTGAATTCTATCATTAGCCTTAACATCTCTGCAATTACCCATATCTGACTGTTAACATGTTATTTCTACACTCCTTCTCCTCCTCTTCTTCTTCATCTCCACATTCTCTGAATTGGGAGCTGGGAAAACTGTGGGATTCTTAAAGCGATCATTATTTTGGTAGCAGCTGGTTCTTAGCAGCCCCAGTTTTGTGACAGAGGTGACAGGCTCTGTTCTGTGGCTGCATTGTCCTAATTATATTCCTAATGGGTCACACGTCTTGGGATAAAGTGATGTTATATGCTGTTGTGTCTGCAGGGCAGCACTTTATGGTATGCTGGGAAACAACTAAATGTAACACGTGCAGCCAATGCATTTACTGTCATTAGTTAACCAAGCAGCCCGTGTGCCTCTTTCCATTCCCTGACCCACATTTCATCCACACTCTGCTGTTTTTCTCCTGCAGGGTTATTTCCTGAGCAAAGCCCAGATCTTATGAGTCCCCCAGCAGAGAACTCTGTTCTGACTCCCTAAACAGGCAGTTTCACCTGCTGGGCTAGTGTTTTTCTACTACCTAGTCAATCTGCTAAGATTTTAGCAGGAGATTCCTGGATACCTTCTCAGAAAACATATGGGCGATTGAAATTACTTTGGCCTGGCACAATTTTAAAATTGAGAAAGTAAGGAAGAGGTGCAAATCTTCTGTTCATAAATAGCCAAATCTGTGGGCATTTAAAAAAGCATTCTGTGCAGCACAACAGAACTTATGTGCTACATTTCACCCTTGGCACACTTTCCAAATGAATTGTTCAAAGAGAAGTTATATTAGGACAAATAGAAATGACGACCAACACCAGATGTGGATTTTTAGTTAATATTTATGCAACACCCAAAGGGAAGATGGTATTGCACAATAAACTAAAAATGTCTTAGGCAAATAAGGAAATCTTTACCCTGAGGAACTGGCACTGCAAAGGTATGAATTATACAACAAAGGACTGGGAATGCAGAACAAATGCAGGGTAGGTCTGGGTGACTATAAAAAGGAATTCATTGAGGAAGTGGTGAGGTAGCAGATGTGTGGAACCTACTTGGGAAAATAAGGGCTTAGCACTTTTTTGGCCAATCTTGTGTCTAAGGTAGAAAACTCAAGCCAACTACCCTAATTTGCTTCATCTGTGGAGAGCAACAGTAGCTTTAAATAGACCATCTATAAATTCAGAACCGAGACAGCAATCTCACATTGGATAAGTATACCTTAATAAACTAAAAAGCTATGTCCCCAGATTTTAAGTGATCTCTAAGGATAGTGAAGATGACATCTTTAATCTGATTTTCCCCTGCAGTTCTTCAGGGAAGGTAGAAAATACAGGAATTGGCTGTCTCTCAGCCCTGGGAGAGCAATCCGAAAGAGACCATAGCTTAATGCAGTGGAAGGGTATTGAAACCCATGCTAAATTATAATAGAAATTTTGTTAAAAGCAACTGGATTTCTCAAACACAGCTGGATTTCCAGCTTTCCATTTATCAGGGATGGTAAGATGGACCACTTACAGCATATCTCACTGTCCCCTGGGCTTGCATTTCAGGAATTGGGGGGGGAGGAAGTTAGGATTGTCTGTTTAATGCTATTGAGTTTAGAAAAGAGAGACGACTCTGAAAAATGCTTATAAGCTTTTAACAGTCTGAACTCAAAGCTCTCCAGTACTTTATTATTTTATTTTGGCCTCTAAGTCTTCTTGATTATTAAAGAGAGCTGTCCATGTGAGCCTTCCCATCTTTAGTCTTCACAAGGAAGTGATATGCTCACAAGAATTTTTAACCTACTTCCTCCTTGCCTTTGTTAAGTTGTCATCATCTTTAACATTGACAACAAATCAGTTTATTATTTCATGATGAATATAAGTGGATTTTCAGTTGTTATATAGTTTATGGGCATTTATTCGCTACTTTCTTAATTATCAGCGCTTTTTTATTTAGAAAAATTTCTTCTACATGTGAAAACAAGACTGATAAAGTCCTTACTCTCATGAGGCATCCATTCAAATGGTGATTTTTGAAAACTAATATATGCTATAAGAAAGTAATACAAGATAGGGGATAGCAATTGATGGAAGTGAGGCTACTTCCAAAGTGTGGACTACAGAAGACTTTTTGAGCAAGCATTTGAGCAAAAGACTTAATAGTGAGAAGTCTGGGTAGAAAACATTCTGAGGAGAAAGTAAGTTCCTGAGAAAGATGTATGTGTTGTACACACATGAGCATAATCTGAAGGGGGAGAGGAAGTCAGAGCCAAAAGAACCAAGTCAGAATTAGAGATTTCTTCAATGTGCAACAGGAAGTCGCTGAACATTTTTAAGTATGGAGATTGTAGTTTTCAAAACCTTCTGTCAATGCCTCAGGTTGAGACTAGGGAGAGGAAGAGATTGCAGGAGTGGAAGTAAGGAGACCATTTCAAAGCACTACAGCATTCCAGCCAGGAGGTGAGGGTGGCTGGGACTAGGATCTAAGCAGTGTTGATGTGATGGCATGTTTTGTTGGTAAACATCTAGACTTTACTTAACAAGTAGAAAAGGAAGTTGTAGGGGTAGGAGGTAATAGAGCTCTGCTTTGCAAGCATTTGAGTTCAATCCTCAGTACAGTCAAAAAGAAAGAAAAAAAAAAAAAGGAAGCTGAGGACCATAGCAACACCTAATACCCTCCCTGTACTTTCCAGGATCCTTCTAGGTGCTTTACACAATAATCCCTCTAACCATAATGGTACCCATAAAACAGGCATCATTATAATTGTTTTAGGGATTAGAAAACAGAGGCACAAAGAGGCTAAGTGACTGGCCACAGGTCACCCAAACAGTAAGCGGCAGAGTAGGGACTTGAACCCAGGCATCTGATTGTAGAGTATGTATTCTTCCTCCAGTGTGCTAGGGTCCAGGTGTCAACATATAAGCCCAGCATAGAAACTTAGAGGACTTTGACCAAGTGATTGGATTTTAAAAACTTTTCAACAATGAGTCCAGAATGGAGGAGGAAATGTAAAAGATGAATCACTGCCTTTAATGATAGAATTGCTTGCTATGTACGTTTACACTTCGCCTGTTGTGGATAATATATATTTACATTCTGTCTGTATCTTTACAGATTTCACAGATTTCTTGTAAAATCAGGAAAAGATGTGGCTTTGTTTTGCAGTCGACCAAACCTTTCAGATCACTGCCAGATATCCAGAGGCTCAATTTCTTGCCCCACTTCTGCTGAGCTTGCTGGTTCACAGGGCGCAAGTCAACCTGTATGTTTTCCATGCCCTGAAGCTGCTATGCCGCAGGGGGCGCTGCAGTAGCGTTCATCCAGGTCTGTGGGAGCCTCCAGTTCAGCCAGAAAGGGGACAAGCCGGGAAGGAGAGGTGGCAAGCAGCCCGCGGTCTTCTTTGGTCTTGAAACTTTAGTATACAGAGCTCGTTCTACCCGTACCATTCTTCTACACCATATTTCATCATGTTGGATGCCTTCCATCCAGTCCCGCATCCGGGCGGAAAGGAAAGGACATTAGCTTTCCGTTTTGCTAGGTTCAAGGATAGCGCTGAACCGGGCTGTGCTAGCTGTGTCTCTCTGCTGCGTTCTGTGGGCCAGCCCAACAGTCCAGAAACCATGAAAGGCACCCCGTCCCCGAAATCGCTGCGGGGTTTGCGTGTTTCTTACCTTTTTTGGGGGGTGTGGGGGGAATCCTTTCTTTATGACCCTACTGCGGAAACATTTCTCTTCCACGATTTTCCACTGACATTGAGGTTGACGGTGGCCTAGGCTCAGAGTGGAGATCTCTCCTAAAACGCCTCCCCGGCTCTCCGACACGCCCTTCTTCCCCATTTCGGTGACTGCATCGAGTGCGCGTGTGAGAGATCGCGTGAATGTTTGTGGCAACTGCTAGCACTGGGCAAACCTGTTCTTCCTCTCCGGGTCCCCAGAAGTCTCTCCAGCTGACCAGACTTGCGCCTGGCAGCGCTTGGCACTGAACGCTGGGTTAGAGATCTATCTGGCAGACAGCAGCTGAGCTGTCCACCTCCTCCTGTCTCCTTTCTCCTCCAGCTCCCCCTCCCTGGGCGCACTCCAGCTAGCCCTGCGGGCGGCCTTCCAGCAGTAGTCCTTGTCCCGGGGGCTTTCCAGAGTGAACACGAAGGTGAAAGAAAAAGAGGAGGGCGGGAGTTGGGTAGGAAGAGGCTGCAGTCCCAGGGAGGGTGGGAGGAGCCTCTAGCCAGTGGGGGTAAGGTGGGAGGAGCCTTTGGGGAGGATTTGGGTGGAGAAAGGGGCTGGGCAAACTCAGGATGGAGGGTTGGCCACGCAGGCGCGGGGGGCCTCATCGGGAACCCCACGCGGGAGCTTCTGGAATCCCCGGCCGCCTCTTCTCACTTCACTGGAGAAGGGGCTGGGACCGGGAGGGAGCTAGTAAAGAGTGAATGTGCTGCAGCCGCGGTGGCGGCTGGAGTCAGTCCGAGCGACACCGGAGCAGTGCGCCCGGGAGGCGGCGAGGGGAGGCGGTTCGCCTTGTCCCTCCCATCCGCCCCTCTTTTTCTCTCTTCCTCCAGCTGGTCCCAGAGCCCAGCTCGGTCCGGTCCCTCTGTCCCCATCCCGCACTCTTCCACCTCCTCCGAGTCCCACTCCTCACCTAGGGCTCCCCAAACTGCCATGGGTTAGGGTGGGGGCGGCAAGCCGCGCGAAGGACCAGCCCTGTGCATCCGCCGGAGGGCGCGGAGCGCGAACGCCGCTCGCCGCGTGCGGGCGCCGGGCATGGGGAGCGCGGTGTGAGCCCGCACCCAGGGAAGACACAGGAGCTGCGGTGACTGGCGCTAGGAGGAGGCGGAGGAGAGGAGACGAGGATTGGAAGGACCCGAGGGAGGGAGAAAAAGGAGGGTGGGGAAGCGAAGGGAAAAGTGAAGCTGGGAGGAGAAGGCGGCGGAAGGTGGGGATTGATGCTTCTGCTTTTTGTTGCCGCTGCTGCCCTCGCGCTGGGAGCGGAGCCGCAGGAAGGCGGTGGAGAGATGATTGCGGAGTTGGTGAGCAGCGCTCTGGGGCTCGCCTTGTATCTCAACACCCTGAGTGCGGATTTCTGCTACGATGACAGGTAAGGGGGAGAGAGGAAGGGGCAATGGCTGCTTGGGGACATCTCCTTGGTACTGGATCTTCCCACTTTAATGCTTCAACTGCATCTTGAAGGAACTGGTTCAGCCCCCGAAGGTTTAGGCGACACGTAAACAGTAACACCTAAACCCAACACCAGGGCGCGAGCGCACCGGGCGGGCTGGAGGGAGTTTCCGCTCTTACTTTGCAGCAGGTTCTCTTTTGCTTCTTGCCTGCTGGCAGACGTTTAAGTTTTTTAGCGGAAATCCCGGCAATTTGGGAAACTGTTTAATGAGTACTAAAAAAAACCGTCCTAGGTATTCGTTGGTGCAACAAAGCACATTAAGCGATTTTACGTATGGGCTGGAAGGAAGCCCCTCCTCACCCCCTAGTAGATCTTCTCTGTGTCGTTTCCTTTTATTGATAGGACACTTTTATTTCCCGAAGTTCAAACGCACGTTTGACAGTTGCCAAAATAGTGAAAAGAGAACGCGAACTGTGCTTCAACTTCCCTTTGACGTATATGGTACTTTACTTTGAGCCAAGATAATGCTTCTGATTGTAGCTCCCCCCACCCTTATCCTCCCTCACCAATCGATGGGGCAGCACTTTATAAAAGCCTTGGCTTTCATTTCTGTTTGAGAGTTTTGCATTACACATTGGTGATTCTCTTGTGCTAATTGGGGAAGAAGACGCCCCTAGAGACTGAAGTTGTCTTCTGCATTTGGGTTAGTTGGGTGGCTTAATGAGACCCAAACTGTGTTGTCAAAGAGACTGCATTGATTCTTGGAAAATGTCACACTTGTGCTGGTGTCTCTACCTATTTTTTAAACGTTGTTAGTGTTTAGAAACTGATGAAAAGCTCCAATAGCCATTAGGGGAAATTACAATTTGTGCCTTTCCGGTGACTTAATCTGATTACAATTAAAACAGATGCATAATTAAAATATATTAGGGAGAACAGCACGCCTGGCTAAACTTATTAACCGTCCTGGGGTGTTTCATGCTCCATTGAAATTAAACCATCCAAAAAGTGAGCACAGATTTACTTTGACAGCTTTTCAGCAGCCTCTCTGGGCTATGGAAAGTGAATGGATCCCCAGGGATAGGGTGAGGCAGTGAATGAACGTAAGCAAAGTGGTTGATAGTGAGGAGAGGTAAAGACAGACTCTCCCTCTGGTGCTAATTAGCCATAGCCTGTATTCTCTGGCGTGCCCACTCTCTTGCTAAAAGCATGGGCATGGTTGTTTGTATGTCTTAAATCAGCAAATGCTGGTTCAGACCCACATGTCTGCTACGAAGTTCCTAGACAATAGGTAGGAGAATATCCTGCAGCTCCTTAATGCTTTTCATGAAGTGTCTTCCAGAGGCCAGTGGATAGGAAAGCACTGGAAGACAGAAACTTTCCCGCAACTTTTAAGCAGTGTACTGACTTTAGCAGTCACACTACATGCTCTAAGAAATGGTCTCTAGGTAAGACTGAGGTGAACTGAGCTGCTTCCTCCAGTTTTGGGTGATGGTGCACCTGCTATTTCTAGAATATTGGTGAAGAAAGCCCTTGTTTACTAAGAGGAGTGAGATTGTACTAAAATGAGCTCAGTGATGAGCCTGGGCAGTTGCTGTCTCTGTTGGGGACAGTTTGAATAGTAAGCATTGGAGCCCAGAATATGTAGCTTATAAAGAAAGGAAACACTGTAATACTGTTACCCTTACAGAACACTGTGATAAACCAAGCATTCCTATTTGTATGCTGTTCTTAATTGCTGTCTGGTACTTAAAAGAGGATATGTCAGGAGAAACTTTTTTTTTTTTATAAAAAAATCAATGCCAAAACTAAAACAAGCATATGAGTACCTTTTTCTGTAGTTCTCATACTTAATTCTGTGCTCTTGGATAATGAGTCAGAAATGTGGGGCCTTTGTAACTTGGGGAGAATGTTGTGAGTGTAATGATAAATTAGCTGTGCTTTGATAGTTAGCATTTGTTAGGAGTTCTTCACATGTTGTAGGTCAAACTGAGTGTTACATTCTTTAATTTAGTGTGATGATTTGTCCATATTATATAATTATAACATGCTTAATATATATATACTTTATATACTAATGTTGAGGACCTAAAATATGAATTATAGTTTGCTCCATTTTAAAAAATGTATTTTACTTTGATTTCTTAGCAGAACTGCATATGCAACCACATACTCTTAAAAGTACATAATCTTAAGAGCAACAAACTTCATTTTTATGTATCCCAGGACTTATGAGATGCATATTAATGCAGCACTGAAGACATTTGTTGTATGCACAGCATGTTAAAGTGATTCATTGCCAAGATGCACTGTAAACTGTGGCTTTTCAAATATATTTTCTGTGTGAGTACTATAAGTCACTGGTGTGTGAAGGGGAAGCTAGTTGGGGAGCCAAGTGGAAACTGTAAGATGATGATAATGTGTTTATTTCCACTACTCCATCTCAGACTGCATAGATTCACATTTAAAATGTTGCTTAAATTAATCTGTGGATTTTGCTGCCCCCCAGTAACTTTCATGAAATACAGCTCTGTAAGGAGAGGCCAGTGCTGAAAGTGAGGAAAGCAGTGCTACAGAAGAGAGATGGGTCTTATGCCTGACTTGCCTAACTAAATCAAGACTGCATTTTAGCCTAAGGACTTTGGCATTTACTTTAGGAGCACTTTATATTGCTTTAGCTTAAGCAATATTGCTGTGGTACTTCTTAAAGTTATCATTTCTTTTAAATATAGTGATCAAGTTTACTTTATAAGCTATATATATATATATATAATTACTTTCAATGTTTGATGTAGCTTGGTTGAAATTAAGTAGTAACATGAACCTTTCTTAAAGCAAAATCAATTTCCCTATGGTAAAATTTAATATTTTATAAGTGTTTCTGTGCTAACCTTAAGAAAATGTCTATGATGTGCAGAATCCCCAGTATCTGATGAGAAAGTATATATGGCTTCAGCTGTGTCCCTCTTCCCTTGTCTTTAACATAGTGTGATAACTATATTGAATCTTCAGTTGTACTTAGAGGGAAATTGTAATTACAAACATGCAATCTTTGCCAAATTTCAGGTCAAGTTGTATATGACTCCATAAAAGATCCACTCTTATTTTTCTGGAGAAATTTGGTGTTAGGTCACTAGAAAAAACTTGCTAATCCCAAGTTCTCTGCTGTCTTATTTATTTGTTGAGGATATCATGGCATCACTTCCCTTCATCTTCTTTAAAATATTGTCCTAAGTTTCTCATGGAGCTAACACCATGAGAGGAGTCATTTTACTCTGAAGTGAATAAAGGTAAACCATAAATGGCTTGGATTTAATTTTGTACACATTAGCCAATTGATGGCATACCCTTTTATGAGATACAGACAGGTGAATAAGAAGATAATGCAACTTCTGCATGTCTTTAATTCTCACATGGATGCAATAATTCGTAAGTTTGGGAAAAAACAATTTGAGATTTTGAAAACAGGAAATATATTTGTGGTTCCTTTGAGTGTGTTTGTCCCTGTTGCCCATTTTGTATTAGTTAAACTCAGGCAGGATCATTAACATTACTTATAGGCCTCTTAGCTATTCTGTTGTGCAGTAATTGTGTGAAACATGGAGAAACAACTTCACAGCAGAAATTTCTGCTCTAGAATTAAACTATCTCAAGCTCTTAATAGCACATTCCTAGTTTAGTTTTTCATTTGGCTGTAAAGGTAAATTTTGGTTTTGTAGAAATACTAGTTTGGATTTTGCTCATACTGATTTTGATTAGCAATAAGTTAAGATGAAAGAATGAAGATTTAAGGCATATTCATGATTGTTTTAAAGCCTCCTTTTTTGTTCTAAAACTATTCAATTATTCCTTCTCCTTGGCTTTTCAATGTTATTGTTAGCTTGGGTTTTGACTTGGTATGGTAAAAATTCCTTGTGTAATGATCAATCACTTTGTTAACTTCTTCCTAAAAAGTTCTCTGTAACAGATTTGCCTTGGACCAATTTAGAATTGTTATCTTAAAATTCCAATATGTTTAACCACTGAAGGCATGCTTGGTATGTAGTAAATACATATTTAGAAAGAATTACTAAAAAATTAATTGAGGGAGAACTTTGCTTTGTATCAAAGGTCATCTCACCAGATCATACCAGAAGAAGGCAAAGTGACCAGAGTGTTTTCCCCTTTATTTTACTTCCCAGTTTATAATTTATAGTTTATGAACTTTCTTATATAGCATTTTTTCTAGCTAAGTTTTTGTTTAAACAAATTGTAAACGGTTCATTTGGTTCCTTTGAACAAGTTGTCTCTTATTGGTAAATTAAAATTTCAATTAGGTAAAGTCAGGGTGGACTGTTGTGCTTTACTTCCATTGAGCCCATCACATGGCATTTATCAAAACAAATGACCTAAATACAGGCACCGAATGGACATGTACAAATGCCAAAGGAAAATTGCTTCCCAGCCATCTGTCTCTTAGTTGTTTTCATACACACACATGCGTGCATGTGTACACACACAATTATTAATTTACATTGGTGATTCTGTGGGTTGTTGCCTTGTCATCTGCACGTAGGCTTTCAGTGCTAATGTGCCCCCATGGTAACACTGAACTCTTTGCTGCTGTAATTCCGAAATAGCTACAATCTTTTGGATTCCAGCATGAGTTTGGAGCACAGTTTGTCTCTCTAATCTCTTTGTTGCTGCTCAACACATTCAAAGCATTTGTTCAAAATGCCTGGGATAGAGCAGCTGTTAACAAAGGCTAAGGGTAAATTCTCTCTAACATAGGCATCTTCATAATATTAGGCAAGGACAAAGTTAATCCTTAAGGCATTCTAAAAAAAATCTTTGACTGACAATTCTACCTTTGTCTAACATTACTGTTTCACCCAAAACGCTTTTAACATACTACTAACATTCATCTTTTAATTTTTTTTTTTTTTTGGCAGCACTGGGGTTTGAACCCAGGGCCTATGCTTGCTGTGATGGGTTTTTCC